CAGAAGCCAAGAGAAGTGAAGAAAGCAAGAAATATATATATATTGCAAAGAGAAGAAAATATGCATTGCAAATAAACAGATAAGAGTACTGCCACATTTAATGACACGAAAAGTAAGAATCGAAATTTCAAGATATAAATCGAATAAATGGCAGAAGTTTTTGACTAAAATTCAAGAAACATATAATAATAGAGAACAAACATTTTGGTAGTATCTTTTTAAATGTTAAATGAAAAGGCTGAGACAACGAATGTTATTAAGATAAAGAGCTACATATATATATATTGAAAGCAAAAAAGTCGACCTAGTTTTGATACTATATCGAATTTTATGATCAAAGAACATCCACCAAGTTACGCAAACCAGGTCGAACACTAGGGTAAGCGAAGAAATCATTCACAGTAATTCGGTCGTCTTCAATTGAGAATACTTCTTGCTAAAACGATTGATAGATGGATTAAATACAGGTCAATATTTTGGACGTTCAAAAAAAAAAAGATTTCGTCTGAAATGGTCAGAAAGACATGAGAAAAAGATCGTACCGGCCTGGAAAATTCTGGCAATCGATAAAGCTTGGAAGCAGTATTTCGAACTAGAGTACTTTCAAGTTTTTCGAGCTACTACGGATTGCTTTCTATCAGATAAAAAGAAAAATTGAATAGAAGTGATTGAAAAATATGTAGACTTTCTGACATGAACTGCTACTATTAAGTTCTATCTATTTTCGTTACTGTTTTTATCAAAACTCAAACGTATGCATCACCTGCAGAGATATATTTGCGAATGAAAAATCGAGTATGAGATCACATATATTATATACAGAAGTGTTACTTCAGTCACTTGGTTATTCGCAAGTTAACAAGTAAACAGTAAATTAGATAGAAAGATTTGTAAAGACGTAAACGTATGCATATAGTTACTAATCTATGGGCATGTACGTATTTACGACAATACATATAGATATTACTGTAGACTGATAGTCTAAGAGATAAATGTGTTCTTACTTACAAATGTAATTAGTTGACTATGCATCTCTACAGGTGCACAGGTGAATAAAAATATGATACTACTCTCGAAAACAACGAGTTTTCCGGTGTTGTTTCGACTGTTGTCACCGATCTTTCTGCAGGAGCCAATCAGAAAACGATGAGAACATAGAGACAGTATCCCAAACAGAAAAGACGCCTTCTCAGAAACAATGATCATCCACATTTCTTTGGCCATCACAGATAGTATAAATTCAACTGGATTCGTTTGAAAACTGGAAGGGATATTTGAGAAACATTGTAGAACTCATCGTCTTTCGTCCATTTCAGGTACTACAATTGTTGATAGCGTTCTATTACATTGCTTTCAGTGCAGAAACAGTGATATCTCACATATTTTCTGATAACTTCTCTCATTGTTCTGCTCTGTAAAAAAAACAAAAAAAGCTGTCAGACTGAACCTTTTTTTCGGTACCATATTCAGAACCATTTTTAGTTCTAGCCAAAGAGTCTGAACTGTTTAAAGTTTCACTTTTTCTGTCTAAAACCTTTTTAAATTCTGAGCTTTTGGGCTGAAACTTATAAAAATGTTCTGAAATTGTTACCCAAATCTAGGGCCGTCAATATTTTCTTATGACACCTTTTTTTGGAGAGTGCTAGATCCTGTCTTACTCCAAATATTTTCGATAATCGGAATGGTTGATCTGAGCTCTGGTACATTTTTTTTATAGATAAACGTTTAGACAGATACGATGAGTTTTTGGCTTTCTTCTGATCGTTGCCTATCACTAGTCTTCCTGAATTCGATGAGGTTCTAGCTTTCTTCTCAGCTCTGAAAAATGTGGAAAAGCCTTGTGTCCAGTGCAATGTCTTTCCGAAGCAGAATATTGCTTTTCTGTTCATATAATCTTGTCTCCTGCTGGAAAATAGCAGAAACGATAAGAAATATGTTCGAAAAATATGATGTTTCCAGGAGGATTTGACCGTATTTATCGACCTAAGAGGTTGTCAATCGAACTGCTACCATACCTGATTGAGCGAATCTAAGTATCCTAACGTTTGGAAACTTGTCAAAACAGTTACATTTAATAAATTAAAGTTAGAACACCTCGTTATGATCAGACACGATCGATTTTACTTTTAGAAACGCATTCAAAGTTACTTGCCAATCAAATGATAATCTGTGACAAAAGGATCTTGCTATTCAACTGTTTAGAACGAGCATATCTTTAGTACCATTGAAACGAATTATTTCATATCTAAGTGATTGTCATGCATATATTGTCTTTGGAAAGAATAAATCGAAAATTTTTCAACCTTTTTCCAACTAATAAACCGAGAAGTAAAGCCAATAAGTAAGGTTTTATCAGAAGACAAGACAAAAGTATATAATAAAATAGGAAAGTTGTCCAAGAAATGGCAACAACCTGAGAAATTTATCCCAAACAATAGTGTAGATCTTTCATTTGCAACCACAACATGCAGTAGTCACTTGATATATAGATAGTCAAAAACTACAAATAGCTAAAGAATTTGAATATCTTGATTTGACTGAAACAAATAAGTTGCTTTTAAACTTGCGACTGGTGAAACTTTTAAAACATTTAAGTTTTATCATTGAATAAAAATGATAAAAATCTTTCAAATGTTGTTTTACGAAGACATATTCTAGTTTTTATTTTTCTTATTCTGTTTCGAAATTTCTACTATATTCATTTCTAACCCAAATACCAAAATAATTAGTCTTGAAGAAATTTAGAAACAAACTGAAACTGATTCATCATTGCCACTTTGTTTAAGCACTAGATTTTCTTCAAACAATAAATGAAGTTCCACTAGTAAATAATTTGAAATGATAGATCAATAAAAGGCTAGAACAAATCAAATAGTCAGATATACGTTGCTCGCTTTTCTATAATTTATTTTACTCAAATTTATTTCATACTAGTAAATATGATTATCTTAGACATTTTTTTTGGAATAAATGAATGGAATATACGCAAGATCTTAATGATTATTTTTTTTCAGTGGCTTCAATTTTGATCGATATGAAGCCCACTATATTTTGCCTGGACTCTCTCTATTCCTTTCATCTAGGTATTTCTTCACCTTATTTTCTCTCTCTTCTTTGCTGTTGTCATCCTCCTCTGTTTTTTATTCTTTTCGTCTTCACTCATTTTTTCTTTTGTTCTGATTTTTTCCTCTCTATTATATTTTTTATCTGTCAAATGTGCGATCTGATGAATTTATTTCTTTTGACTTTCTTTTTAAATGCATTATTATCACTCTTGGTGATGTAAATCACACAGTTGTCAATGCTTACGATTATTTTTGTAAATACTTTTGAGTGTAACAATAAGAAAGCAAGAATATATATATATCGATATGGCCATTCTGACGTGATGTCTCAATTATATTTTTGTTTAATCAGATAACTTCTATAATATAACGAAAAAAATATGATTTCTTTTCTACTATTTATAGTATTCATGTAATGTTGATGAGTTGTTATTGTTTGGGTTATGTATTTTGTCTGAAGGAAAAAATAATTAAGTATCTTTGTACAATATTTTGCTCAAACGTATTGTTAACAAACTTATTTGTTTATTATAACTCTCACTTGACATTTTTGCTATTCTTTTTCTATTCTTCCAACTTGATAGCATACACTTTTAATATTGTGCTGACTTTAAAGCGTACGAATAGCTGTTGAAAATATTCATCAACGTATTTAAAATGATGTTATTTTTAGGACTTATTTATATAGGATCATGCGATGATTTTAATAAAATTACCGAAATTGCATATATTTTTTCTACTCTGTGTTATCTTAAGTCGACTAAGCATCATATTTGTAATTATAGACCGTGATAAATTATCTATCATTCTGATTGATTACTTTTGATAAAATTTTGTCATTAATATATTTAGCTGTTTCAAATAACAAGTACGAATTAAGGTGAATGAATAATTTTGAAAAAAAGTATGTTTGAGCAACATATTTTACGAAAACTTCGGATTATTTTTGTTTGAGACAAGAAATGCCAAAAAAAAGCCATATTTTTCCGATCAAATGATAAAAATAGAACTGAGACATCCGTTCAAATTAGCCATCCCCATGTATATAGATATATATAATAAAAACATTTGTTTAACGGCTTCGTTCTTTATATCCGACAATAAACAAAACGCACGTCATAATGACATATGATGAAAAAAACGAGAAACTGCTCTTGTTAATAGGATTCAAAATATGCTATTCAAAGTGATGTGAGCAATTTTCATCATCAGGCACGCTTAACCTTGGTTATGTTAATATTACTTCATCAGATAACATTATTTCAATACAATCGAATATAAGCGAAAACCTATCCAATGATGGGAATGATAAGACCATGATGATGATGAAAATTGTTTATGACAAGTGTGCAATAATATGTTTATTCTATTTTATTTTCAACATGAATTTATATGTAAAATCGTCGTTATCGTTTGCTCAGATTTTCTTCTATACCTATAATACCAAGATGAATAAATGATATACACAATCATCACCTTTTTTCTCTTTCGCCACTATCACTTTTTTCTCGTAAACTGAAGAGACGAAAACAATGTAAATCAAACGAAACAACACAAAAAAAGAAGAACAAGAGAAGGAAAGTTATCTATTAAATGTTGTTTGCTCCTTGAGTTCACGTCGACAAACACGTAAGAATTTGGTACTTGACTATGTATGAAATAGAAAGAATGAGAAAGATAGAGAGAAGGAAAGAAAATAGGTAGGTACTATTGTTTTTCTTGTATATTTCCATTCTTAAGAATTCAATGACATGGATGTAACAAGCTCTCAATAATGAGACATAAAATTATGCGTTTATCGATCAGAAATTCTTTTCTTCGAATAACTTTCTTTTTTTTATTTTTATTTTAAATTACAGATAAATAAAACATTATCGAATCAACAATTTTGGATTTTCAATAGAATGTTTATTAGATAAATAAATGTTCATAACGATGTATATGTATTGCATTCTTTTCGTTGTATTATTTATTTTAACTTTTGCACCATTATCACAATGTAAGTAATAGTAAAAAAGAGAGACAGAGAGAGAAACAAATCACTGTTCTTTCTGTCATTTTAAGTGTATTCAATCATTTTTTATTATTTAATTGATACCTTCATAGAGAGTATCATATATCAGTAGCGCAGCTGTTCCTTTCCTTTCGAATACGCGTATGAGACATAGTAATGAAAATTACGATGATTATTTTGTCGAAAAGAAAGTTGAGTGCATATAATACAGATGTATGCCTGATTAGTTAATAGATAAATGACAGTTTGTTCTTGTCAAATAGGAGTCTAAGCAATAATAAAAATCGATAAACAGCAATCAGATTATTTTCTATATGACAAACAGAAACAACATTATCAGACATAGCAACTAATCAAGAATGTTTCTTATATATACATATGTATAACATAAATAATATTAGGAAAATTAATACTGTTTTCGCAAAAAAACAAGATTTGGTACAGATTATAGCTGATTGCCATCGATGCAATAGCCATAAACTCTGATAATATCAAATTATCATAATATTAGTTGCTATTTAGCAAAAAAGTATAAAGCGAAAGAATGAAAAATAATTATAATGATTTTTGTAGAAAAGTTAAAGATTTTGTGTTTAACGCGAGAATCTCTTTAGTTTTTGAAAATAAATAAATTTCCATAGAGACTAACGTTTTCTAAATACTTTCAATAGAACTATGATAATGTTCATCTTACTTTTAAAAGTTATCATTCAAATAACCTTTGTTAGAATTTAAAATTCATTTATTTAATCATAGCTTTTCTCTTAATCTGCTATTTCACATCAACAAAATACATACAAATGGCAGTTATATCAAGGAAAAAAGAATTAATTTGTTTCTTTTATTTTTGTTAAATCTCTTTAGCTAGTGCTTCTCTTCTTCCTATATACAATCCATCAACTCATTGTCATCATTTGACTCTTACTGATGAAAATTTAACTTTTGCTATTTGTCTTCAACGTGCACCAGATAAACAATATCCATTTAATCTTTATACATCATCATCATTTTGTTCAAAATCTTATCCACCAGATGGTCATCTAGTTGATCTATTGTCTTTATCTTCATCAACAATTGATTTACTTTTTCAAAGTTTAACAAATCTTCTAAATACAAATGATCCTCATATTGTTTTACCTGAACCAAATTTTTTTTGGATAAATTCAAGTAAGACTAAATGATCAGATTATTTTTCAATAAGTTGAATTTTAGATTTTACACAGACATTAAAAAATAATAAATTTTGGTGTCCAAATCAATGTCAAGGAAAAAATGAATCTGAAAAATTTATAATATTAAAAACAAATTGTCAATATAATAATGATAGTAAACCATGTATTAAAACAAAAGCTACGCATTGGAATCGTGCTCCATTTATTTGTTTAACAAAACAAATAATAAAACAAGAAAAACAAATAACAACAGAACCTATTCATATTTCACCAATTTATTCAAGTAGTATTTTTATTTACTTATTTATTTTTGTATCGTAAAAAAAGTATTTTAGATGATACAATTCTTTTCTATGATTCAACATCGTGTATAGTTGTTCGTACACGTACACATCAATATACATTTTGTATTCGTCGTCAAACATGTCCACAATCTAAGACACATGCATATTGTACAAATAGATTTGATGCACAACGTATATGTGAAAAAGAAAAAAATGGTTCAAAATTATTAACAATAGAAAATGATGAAGAATTTCGACTTATAGATGATGTTCTATATCGATATTCAAATGAATCAATACTTATTAATTCCGGTGATTTTGTCGATAAAAATATTTTGCGTGCACAATGGCTATGGATTGATGGAAAAAAAGGTTAAATATTTGAAATAAAAAAAAGAAAATATTTTATCTATTATTCATATATAGGTGTTGATAATACTTATCGATGGAATATAAATGATAAAATTTTTACAGAAATTCCAGATAAATATTGGTGTAATGATACAGCTAATTGTTCAAGTAAAAAAGGAAGTAGTCATGTTGTTTTAAGTATAATTTGTCCACCGAACAATAGAACTTTACAAGCTTGTGTAGCACCTAGAACATCATCACATCCAGGACCATATATATGTAAACGAACATTGAAAGAGAACGAAGGTAAACTAATTAGAATGTAGTTAGATAATTTAAATAAGAAATATTTCATTTATATATAGAATCAATTTTAAACTATAATTATCTTCGAGATTTAATTATTCCTATTACAACAACAACAACACCTATTCCTGTTGTACCAGTTTATGAAAAAAGTAAGTTTATTTTCTCTGTCGCTATCATGGTTGTTTTCATTTTATCTTGTAAATCAGATTTAACATCAATCTATTATGATGAACATCATTGTTTAACTGTTCAAACTCATTCTCATCTATATTCATTTTGTTTACGTCGACAAAATTGTACAGCACGAAAAGCTTATTGTACAAAATGGAGTCAAGCTCGAAGAGATTGTATAATATTAAAAAATCGAGCACAATTATTAACTATTGAAAATGTACAAGAAAGAAAATTAATTACTGATATAATGAAAGATTATTTAAATGAAACACGTTTAACATTTAATGGAAGTACATATCGTTATTATGAATTAGCAGATTTTATATGGATTGATGGAGTTCGACAAGGTTATCTAAAATAGAATTTTAGTAACGAAAAATTTTATTGTTAATTTTTCATTTTTATGTAGCTAACAACAAAACATATTTATGGAATAATGAACGTGATTCGATACCGAAACATTTATGGTGTCCGAGAAAATATTGCACTTCAATGAAACGTGAACGTGTTATGTTGAATTTATTATGTAAGAAAAATAATTCATTACTTTGTTTGGGTACACGTATTGAATGGCATCCAGCACCATATATTTGTAAACGTGTACGACCTAAAGATGGTAAATATTAATTGACTTTTTTTTTCTCTTAATTTAAATAATTAAAAACTGATCTATTATTTTAAATAGAATGTCCAATATTATTTGATAAAATTCGTAATATAGAATTGAATGAAATGTTAATTGTGACAGTCAATCGAACAGTAGCATTCATTATATGTAAACATCCAGAGTATAATACAGAAATAAAAGTACAATATCAATGTGATATTCAAACAAAACAATGGAAATTAATCTATGAAAATGACAATTTTACTTGTCGTAAGTTTATAAAATATTTTGTGAAACACAAAAAATAGTGAACAATAAATTTATTTTATCTAGCTAATTATGATATTCTTTCGATACCTGCGTCAATTATTGAGTCCCAATCATCTCAAACAACCTATAATTCAAGTAAGAAATATCGATGACAGAAAACGATGTATTAATTTTCTTTGCTAACTTTAGAAAATAAATCTAGAAATCAAGATTTTAAAGATTACCATAAGATTTTGACTCTAGAACGGAGTATATGTAGAATTATAGAAAAGAGCTTCGTCCATCTAATAATATATGTAGTTTCAACTCCTAACAACGTATTGTTGATATATCAATAAGTTGTGTTATCATCATCATATTCTACTGTGATTATGGCGAAGCTGATACTATGCATTGATGTATCAACAGTACGCACTAGAACTTGATAATACATACAATATTAGATTGAAAAAGTTAAACTGAATTCGGTCGTTTCTATGTAAATATCTTTTTTTTGTATTGTCATTTTTTTTCTTTCCTTTTGTCTAGAGATTTCTGATCATGGAAAATATAATTCTTCTTTTTTTTGTTATTTCAATCTTTCTCATGTGTTATTTATTGAGTTTGTCCGAAATTGGTGATTATTTGAAATACGAATGTTGAACTTTCAGATATTTAGCCTTATATCGTTATCTAAAGTGTCGATTTTCTTATAATGGATCTCATCCATTTATTATCTATTCCTAATTTAATTAATCTGTTGTAACACAAATTCCGTAGACCTTTCATTTTTTATGAGTAAAAACAATCGCTATTATGAGTTACACAAAAAGAATTGCACAGTAATTAAAAACATGCAGGAAGAAAGAAACTAAATAACACATCACCTGTAAATGTATACTAATCATATGAAATCAAAGAAATAAACAAAAAGCAATTTACTGAAAATAATTGTGACATATAAGTAACATGATACTCTTTACACTTCTCAAATTCTCTGGATTTTTAATAGTTCATGAAATAACAATAGTTATTTTTATATAGTTATCTTTATTATAGCATCAACCCAAGCATCATATACAAAACCGAGTACTTTATCATATTCAAGACAGAGTTCTTTATTATATCCAGTACAGAGTACATTAAGTACAATAAAAGGTATAAAATAAATATAGCATCTTGAATAATACAAATACAAAAAAGTTTTTTAGAAAATGATTGTTCAAAATGGGAACTTTCATTAATTATAAATCGTTTACCAACTGAATCTCGTAATATCTTTTCACAGAAATTAACATATCATTTATCATCATATTATGATATGAAATTAACATGTTATTTTAATCATTCAATACAAATAACTTATCGATGTAATTTATTAACTAAACAATGGATCTATGTTTATGGTATATCAAATCGTTTTCAAAAATGTTATCAATCATGTAGTAAAAATGAACGAAATGAATTATTAAATAAATATTTTACACAATATCAACAAACAAAAATTCATACAAGATATATACAAGAAAAAAATTCATTACGTTTATCATGTTTACATAAACCTAGTAAACGACGAATAGCAATTCGATACAAATGTGGAACAATGACAATAACAACAAAACAATGGTATAGATTACATTTATGTTTTCAACCTATTATAGAAACACAATTTCCGAGTAAGTTTATAATAACATAGTAATAGAGGAGTATGTTACAAACTGAGTTTGGAAAATGATCATTTTGTATAATATTAATTTTGAAACGATGAACATCTTGTTCAGTGTCTATTGTATGTTTTTAAAAAAAAAATGTCGACCACTGGTTCTTAACGTGGGAACTCATGCTTTATTCATAAACAATTTCAAATACATAACGAGGGTCTAACATATGGTAAAGATGTCAAATTATTATTAGATATTCATTTTGTTGTTTTAAAAAATAGATAATCTATGAGTTTTTTTTTTCAGTGAACCGATTATCTTTTTATCAAATAAGTAACATCTAAGAATAAATGTGAAAATTCTGTTTGTGGATATGATTTTTGTTCTGATATTTACACTAAACTTTTTAGCATTACTTCAATAGAACTTTATTGGCAAAATCTAATGAATTTGTTCATTGCATTTAACTGCTTTCTAATTTTTATCTTATGAATAATATTATATTATAGCTATAACGATAGCAATGGCTGTAAACGAAGTAGCACGTCCATGTCCTCCGGCAGTTGTTCGTGGTAGTCCATGCGAAGATCAAATAGGTCAATATATAACTGATGTAAATGGATGTCAACGAAAAATTTGTCCATCACTTAGTAAATTATGTAATGTAAGTAAAATAAATTTCTTAAATATTTTTTTTTTCTATCAATAATTTCTCTATTTTTTTTAAATAGACAATTCGTTGTTCACCTGAGCGAGTATGTCGTGTTATTGCATGTCCATCATGTATTCATACTGATTATCTTCTACCTGTTTGCGAATATCCAAGTAGTATGTGATTTTTAAAATATAGCTTTTAATGCTTTTTTAATTTATATCTTAATCTATATGCTTGATTAGATCATCATAATGTTTAATCATAATTCTAATTCATCTTATGACGATTATTTATTTATTCTCAAAATGAACATTAATTTTTAGTTTATTTTTTATGCTTCTTACTGCTTTAATAATTAGATATTATAGAATTATTTATTATTTTCTTTTTTTTTGTTTTTTGTCTACCTAATTTCCTTCATCCTCTAGAAACTTCACTATGTGGACTTCAAGGACAATTATTTTTATTAAATGATTATGTATCAATTGATAGTTGGGAACGCGAAACAATAGCTCTCATTCATCTATATGCTAGTGAACAAAGACAACGAATAACATTAACACGAGACTATATTTGACTTTATATTTAAAAAAAAATCATACATTTAAGAGTATTGGATGTTTTTTTCTTATCTTGTATAAAATATTCTTTGTAAACAGTGAAAGTTATGCTTGTATTTTGCTGTAGCTAAAAAAATTATGTAAATGAAAAAAAAAAGTTTATTAAGTTAACTAACAGCATAAAGAATTTCTCCACATTTATACTAGCTGAACAGTAAGGATATTTGTATTGGTTGTTTTGAATTATATAAAATAAATTTATTATTCTCAATATTCAATGGATAAATCAAGCAAAAACGTTGTTTCTTATGAATATTTTATGGAAGAACAATTTTTTTTTTCATTGATGCTACTTTAATCATAAATAATATGAAAAGATTTATACTCAAAATTGATCTTGAATTTCTTTTTATTCAATGATGTAAATGGAAACTGAACTACACATATCATGTTTCATTTATATTCTTAAGATCAACAAAAATGAAGTAGCTTCGAATTTGTATCAAAGACAGAAACAAATGTTGAAGACTATTTTTCGTTTAAATATTCGATGATTTCAAAAACTTGTAATGATTATCTCACGTCAGAGATACTGTTGAAATCTTGATCGACGAATGTATTGATGATAGTAGCAAAAGTGGGCATTGACGACAAAGAAAAAACAAACTCGAGACTGTATATTTAAAGTTCGGTTGTACTATTAGTTCTCTCGAAAACAACAACACGTTCTAAATATTTTCTCAATTACGTACAACTAGCATCCTACGACGATAAGAATTTTCGACAACAAATCGGGATTAGAGATAATCGACCTCCGACATATAATTTTATAGTCACAGTATGGTTTTCAAACTTTTATTTTATTTGAAAAAGTATAATATTTAGTTTCTTCCATAAACAGCATAAAAAAAAGAGATTATTTTAAGCTTTTCCCAAAAAAACACAACTAAATGAAATGTTGCTATCCAACATCATGATTGTAGATACAAGCATGAATGTTTTTTCCTCACGATAATACATGTTCAGGTTTTTCAATAATTCATAATCTTTTCGATGTTTTCAGCTGCTTCACCATAATGTTCATCACCATTATCTGTAGATGAATTTTCATTAAAAACAAATGATTTTAATGGAACAATATTGCTTGTCACTTCTATGACCTATTTTCAGGTATAAAAAATTGTTCAAGCATGATTGAACCGATTTTCATTGCAAAAATACAATTGAAATCTTATGAGTAGATAAAGTTCTATGCAAGTAATTGCAGGAAAATTGCAGTTGAGCAAAGACAAGTACGTAGCCTTGTTGTAGCAAAGAATTCTCAGCGTCATCCATGATGATCATGAAGTAAATTATTTGAAAAAAAGATGTTTTTTTTCTTCAAAATATACACACCAATGATGGTGTCTCGACAACAAAAATCTATAGTCAGCAATTATTTAAAGTTTTTTATCTTATTACGATCTGCTTGTAGCCAAAAGATAAAATCAACAATTCGAGAACCGATTGAGCAGTCTCTCTCATAAGTTTAATCATTAGTGCGTTTGCAAAAATTACTTGAAAAAAAACCTTTTTGAATTTTTCGAGGTTTAAGAGATATATAATTGACACAAAAAAATTTGTCTTAATAAAATTTTTTATTTTCTGTTTTGTTAATACTAAATACTATAATCAATTATTAAAAAATTAATCTTAAGCGCTCCCCCTTCTCGCTCCAAAATCGATCTCAGCTCAGGAACAGCCAAATTGCATGAAACTTTCCGGAAATGTTGGGGCCATTGAGTCATGGCTACAGTAAAATTTTCAGCCATATAGCACGATGTTTAACAGAGATACGCACCGAACAAGGGCCAAAAATAGCTCTATGGTATCTTCAAGTTTTCTTAGTGTGTCTTCATTCTAGACGTTTATTTTTTTGTTTTTTGTTGGAAAGAGCATGTCAGCATGCAGCGACTGTCGTGATCCTTTTTTTTAAAGTCTTGCTTTTTAAGAGAAAAAGATAGAACGAAAGTTCAATGACTCAAGACAATCTCTAAAAATTGCGCTGTTCCGATAGAGGTGTGATCTTTTATGATAACATAAGAGCTTATTTTAAAAAAAGGGCCACGACAATCGCTAGCCCTGAACACGAGCTTTCAAATAAAGAAAAAAATATTAGGGTTTATCTCTTACTATGATAGAGTTCTGCTGGAGATACGCCATTGAACCCGCGATCTGAGAAAAACGAAGGATGATTTTTGGTTTTTTTGTAAAAACGGCTTGTTTTTCGAATAGGGGGTGAGAGAAATCTTCCAAAACTTTTGGAAAGAAAGAGGTGCCGAGTAAAATTTTTTTGTCGTCTATGAAAGAGCAGATGATGGGCTACTTCCTCACGAATTTATTTCAATTTCGACTATTTTGACGAAAAATGACTTTTTTGAGGGAGAGGGCTTAAACTAATGAATAGAACATAGATCACACACGACTTGCTACAATAGAAATATATATAGTCTACGAGCTCATGACACAAAAGAGAAAAAAAACACATTGTTAAATGCTTTTTTTAACTGTTAATAAATGATTTAATGCATGTAAATTTTTATTACAGCTGTTACTCCATAGTCAAACATAGCTGTATTACTTCGTTTCAAATAAAAAAAAAATGCCATATCAACGAAACCTTTTTTGGATATGCATCTATAGTTCGTGCTCATTATTTTTCTTTAGCGCTTTGATATATGATTATTATGGACCGTACTCTAATGACTATGGTCAATTAGCTAATGAAAATATCTCGATTGAAACAGCTCTCGAACAGATCCCAACATGTACTCCAGATGATCGCCCCCGTCAACGTGCTCTTCTCTATACTCTTCAAAGTTGGATTTATTTTGCACAAAAACATAAAATTCAATATTGGATATCATATGGAACACTTGTTGGATATGTTCAATGTCGTGGTTTATTACCACATGATCCAGATATTGACGTTTTAATTATGGCACAAGATACATCACAACTTTTTCAACTTTCTCAATTGAATTTTTCATCTATTTATAAACTCAAAGTTCATCCACAATGGTATATTGTTGGAGAAGACAAACGTTCATATTTTCATTCTGAAGGCATTCATTTTGTTGCACCTAACGCACGATTTATTAATCGAAAAGATGGAATTCATGTAGACATTTGGCCTATGTATGATTATGATCCAAGTCGAACAAGAATGAAAAAAAATAGTAAACCAATCCTTTCTGAATATAATAATAATTATAAATGGAAATCATCACCAAGAGAATGGACATTTCCATTAGAAGAATGTCTATTTAGTGGAATGACAGTATGGTGTCCAGCGCAACCAGAAAAACTAGTAGCTAATATTTATGGCCCACTCTCTGTTAATATATCATCAACTACATGTGTTAATGGTTCATGGGTAGATTCGGATAATTATCAGTTAGCAAAATCAATGTTGAATAAAAATGTTATCACCAAGACAACGAATAATAAAGAAGTATATTAATTTCTACGTATTTTTGAAGTGCAAACAACTCGCAATATGTGGCTTCTTCATCATTAGTTAATGAATACTTTTTTGATGCGTTTTGATTCTGAAATAAAACTGTTCATATCCTAATTAAATCTTGATATGTGAACCGTCGACTTTTTAGACTTGAATCTTGTGGTTGATTCCATGTTTTACGTACATATAAGTGATATTGTGAAGAATAAGACATTTTTCTTTTTCTTGAAAGATAGTTCGAGAGTCTCATTCTGAATTTATTCGATTCATGAACAAAGCTACTTTCGAAAACATAATTTTCTAAATATTATCAAAATAGCAAGTTTTCATATTGATTTTAAATGTTTTTTTTCACAAATAATGTTAAACTCATGGAACACATAACTCTTAAACTTCTAATAATGACAAAAATTTGTCTGTAAGTTTTGAATATGAAGTAAGATCATTTAGTAGATACTAATCTTTCTGTTTGTGTAGTAATAATATAAGTTTATCTGGAAAACGAAGTTTACAGTTTTTTAAAATGAAGAATTTTGTACAGAATAGTTTTTTTTTCTATTGTTCAAAAGCGTTTACATCTATTGTTTTCAGTTCTATTTGATTCATGCCCTTAAAATTTAACTGTCACTAAAATATAAATAGATCAATATTTTCATGACATTGGTATTTTAGTAACAATACCAATACAACACTCAATCATTATGATTCAATAAAAAACAAAACTCTTGAACAGACTTCAATATGTAATCTAAATGCCTGTCGACGTCGAAAAATTTTTCTGATTATTCTTCAAGCATGGTCTCATATAAAGATCTAAAATAATCTTGTAGTATTTTATTTTGATTACTTGTTTCCTTTTTACTTTTTTAATAGATAAAAAAAAATAAAAGTGACTCCAAAAATTTTTATATAACAAAATGAAGTCTAAAACATACAAATAACATATTAATCAATGCATTAAATATATCAATCTTCGATTGTCAGATATATTTCCATGATGTATCAGAAGAAAAATTGTACTAACTCTTCATATTGTTTCTATAAATAGAATGCATCTCAAGAACGATAAGAAAAAAGAATGAAGACAAAACATTATTCTTCTTGTACTTCACGTACGCAATATCACACCATTTTTGTTAAAATGAAATGCAGATAATAAAAAGAGTACACCAAACAGATAAAAAAACAAACGAGAAGAGTAGAAAAAAAAGGGACAAGAAAAAGAAAGAATAATAGTTCATAAATAAACATTATATAACTTCTTTTTTTTCTTGTAAATAATCAATCAAAAGACGAACATAAAACTTGAATAGAAATATCTCTATTTATATATCGGGTTGTGCATAACCTTTTGCTAGGGGGGTAGCGCTATTATTTCAAGATGAATACCTAATGAATTTTATATCAAATTAAAGAGCGTCGAAAACTGGATTTATTAGTACTAAATAGTAAAAGTTATCAAAATATATTAATGTCGAACTTACGAAATTTTATGCTTTTTTTAGCATAGGAAATTAAGGCACCAGCAGTTCAAATATAGAGTGAAATATTTTCTTTTGATATTTTTACATGGTTCGATAGAGCTCGTCGAGCTTTACAAAACTGTATATATCAGAAGTTTTTTAAGCCATTTTTCTGAGATAAAAAATTTTAAAAATTACTTGTAAAATCCTAAAAAAATCTCTAATAACTCGGTTTTTTTATATGGAAGAAAAACATTTGATTTTTTCAATGAAATTAGCTTTTTTCATTATCTTTACTGATAAAGACGCTTCGAAATAGACTCATCCGATGCAGCGTGAAAAACTGCGTCTAACAAGTATATCCAGAAGCGTCTTTGTTAGTAAAAATAATGGAAAAAGCTAATTTTATTGAGAAAATCGAGTGTTTTTCTTCCCTATAAAAAATTGTTGGTGCCTTAATTTTCTATGCTAAAAAAAGCATAAAATTTCGTAAGTTCGACATTAATATATTTTGATAACTCTTACTATTTAGTACTAATAAATCCAGTTTTCGACGCTCTTTAATTTGATATAAAATTCATTAGGTATTCAACTTGAAATAATAGCGCTACCCCTCTAGCAAAAGGCTATGCACAACCCGATATATTTAGTTTAATTGTCTTCTATCTTAAATGTGAAAGATTTGTTAGGAAATTTAAATTGTTTTTTTTTTCAATAGATTTTCGATCGTTATGTTATTAATTGTGATATTTATCAGTATTTCTAATCATATGATATTGACGAACAGGGATCATCAGTAATTCCTATATTTTATAACTTATAAACTCTTTAATTATTGAAATAACTTGTCAAAAACAAAAAAGAAAAACATTTAAATGTATCATTAAAAGAACAAGAATAAGTTCTTGTCTTTAATTACTGAATGACTAACTATAGTCGATGAAAAATAATGTTCTTTACTTTTCACTTCCCAACAAGAAAGATCATAAGTTTTGATAAAGTTTATTTATTTTTTTCACATCTTTCTCTTTAGTATCAATATTAATAACTGCATGGACTATTTTGCATTGAATTTCAATGAATAAGATAACGTTCGCTTCATTAAATGTGATATGCTTGGCAGACATATTTCTTATTTGTCAAACTGGGCTAACTTCAGATTCGCATGAATTTAAAAATTAGCTTCTCTGTTACATAGGAAGCGTTCGAAATAAATAATTATACTCCATAGATCAATTAGATATTGTTGTATTTAGTTAAATGATATGTCAAGAAATACTGAAGCTAAACAGCTGGCGTGCATATCCTGGATAGATAAGTACCCTTTACTTTTTCTTTTTTGAGCCATAAAAATCTGTCTCGATCATTAGGATCAATGCAAAAAATAGTAATAGAACCAATTGAAATAGTCAACAGATGGAGAAATTTAATTAGTCATTTAATATGAATGAAAAAGAAAAAAAAATACTCTGATTTACTTCTTTTATTGCTTTCTTGTTTCTGATTTGATCATAATAAATTTATGTTCCAGCTGTTACTATATTTGTAATGATAGTGTTGTCCCTTCAGGTTCATCCTAATGTAGAAGTTAATCGAAATCATTTTTCTGACTTCTTTTGAATGAACATACTTCATTCATCTTTGAGTATTGATATTTGCTGCCCTTATGGACATCAGTGATGGAATCATTTCGGTCTCAAAATATTGCGAATCAATTACATATAAATATGATGCTCTAATAAGTTTATTAACTTGTGCACTAAGAGACTTCAAAAATCGAATATATACGTGCGAGAGTGTTATTTTTTCATGCTTTTTATTTAAAATTCATGAAAACCAAGACATTCTATTCATTTTTTGAGTTTCTGGGTATCATAGCAAAGCAAAAGATTTTAATACGCTTTTCCTCTTTTTAGATTTGTTCTTAAAAACATCCTAATGAAGCGATCCTCATAGTGATTTAGATATTTCTCAGAGCGATTCCTAAGAGTGAGACACGCACAGTTTCTAGAGTATAGATATTTTAGTTTTCTTAATAAAAATAATTTTTTTCTACAGTGGAAGAAGTTTAGTACATTTTTAGTGCTAAAGCAATTCTTTGTTAACTTATGATAACTGAAAGCAATTTATACATCGCTTTGTGTTGAATTGTATGGGCTATATTTTGACATGAAGCACTCACTATGATTTGAAAATATTAATCAAATATTATATATCTCGTAGATAAGTATTATTAAGTAATAACTAATATCCAATTAGTAAAAATTTGCTTTGTTCTCCATTTTCAGGTATTCCACGAGAAAGTGCATTAAAAATTAAGCAATATTATCTAATTATTATTTTACAGTGGACCAACTTAATCAGATTTTCACAGTTTTTTTCCAGCTTTAGTTAGTCATAGTGCTCATTACTTTTCAACACGTTAAATAGGAAACGAAGCTTGAAATCTGAAAAAACCAAGAAGTTTTGAAAAGTACAGCTTTCGCTTTCAACAGATGCGTTTTCATTCTCAGTACATTGTTCTTTTCAAATGTTACAAAGGTTTCGAATTCTAAACTGAAAATCCATAGAAAAATATCTGAAAATCATGAGCTCAATTATTTCTTAAACTTTACAGCTACAACATTGCACTTTCTCATGGAAATGCCCCCATATAGAAAAGAAAGCAACGTTTTGTTAATTGGCTATTAATTGTTACTTAATAATAACTACCTAAGAGTTATACAACAATTGATTAATATTTTCAAATTACGATGAATGGTTTATACCAAAATGTAGCCCGTACAATTCTACACTGAGTGGTGTGTAAAATTATTTTCAGTTATTATTGGTTAACGAAAAATTGATTAAACACTAAAAATGTACTAAACCTTTTTCTCCATTTTAGGTTTGAATTTGTTTAGTTTCAAAAAAACACGAATCAATTCCATCTCTAATAGGATTCCATGACAGTTGCTTCCGGGACACTTACTCCCCAGTGACAGTTGCTCTCCGACTACTTGCTCCCCAGAAGCACTTGCTCTTCAGCTACACTTGCTTCCTAGCTGGATTTAACAAAACTGTTAATCAGGGTGTGAGTGTGGATGTGAGCGTTGCTCATCTGTTAAACAACACCCACAGCCATACCCACACCCTGTTTGGGAAGCAAGTGTCCCTGGGGAGAAACTTCCAGGAGAGCAACTGTTCGGGGAGCCAGTGTCGCTGGAGAGCAAGTGTTCCGGGAGCAACTGTCGTGGGAGTATCTCTCTGGGAAACATCTTTTCGGTTACCCTCTAATAGACATACAACAGCTTTTTACATTCAACTATTTGATTTAAATGGGTTTAGGACAGTTGCTCGCGAACATTTGCTCGCTATAACAGTTACATAGGATCCTATAGCGAGCAACTGTCCTAACGAGCAAGTGTCCGCGCGCAAGTGTCCGGATCCAGATTTAAATATTTCTGTTCAACCAATCTATCGGATTACTCTTCAATATGCCTTCATATACTGCTTCGTCAATATCCTTATCTATGTTTGATAGCCAACACAACGTTT